CACCCATGCACCTGAACCACACCTGGGAAGGTTGAGAATAGATGAGATTTCGGAAGTGAACAATTGAGATTGGATTTTTTTTTTTTTTTTTTTTTTTTTTTTGTTGTTGTTGTTGTTGTTTAGGCACGTACATACCCAATATCCAACACCTTACATCCGCTTTCCAAAATATCTGTACACGGCGCCGAAAAATTTTTCTCATCAAAAAAATACTTTGAAAAAAAATGTGACCTCTGCTGTCGATCAAATTCCTCTTCGTCATTTCTTAGAAAATAGTTTGAATTAGAGAACAAACTGTCACTCGAAGAGCTTGAGGTAGATATTGTGTCGCTTTGTTCGTTTGAACTTCCAGAAAATTCCTTCTTTTTCTTCGTTCGTCTGGCTAAAGAAAGATGATTACCCATGTTTTTCGAAAGGAGTTAGTTGCGTTCGTAAATTCAAGATCGACGGATTACTGAGTCATCAATAATTTAGGTATGCAATCAATAATAGTGACGAGGCTCTTCGTTTATCATATAGTGAATGATCTTGAAAATTAACGTTTCTCTAGGTTCCATCTGCTAACTTTTATACGTGATCTACTTTTGAATTCGTTCCGAAAATATGAATTTAATAAATTTTACAAAAACGTCCAAGTTATAACATAAAAGGAATGGGGTTGTTAAAGTTTCGGCAATACCTATATAGAAATTCCGATCACCTAATAAAATTTTGTAACACGTGAAATATACATATTAATGTTTTGCAGCTTTTTTCCTTGTGCAAGTACCATGACAGCGAGAAAATCCTTGGACAAGCGCTCAGGTATTTGTAGAAAATCAACGATTGAATTTAATAAAAGATTTCCATGCAAACCTGATAAATCATCTTACATTCAGAAGATGAACTATATTTTATTAATCTCTCGCGGAAACGTACGAAGTATTTGAGCAGGCAAATGTAAATTATATATTGATATAACGGACTTTTTGCCGCCAATTTTGCTGAGTAAGTAAATCATATTTGTTAAGTAATTGAAAGCGTTCTTTGGGGATGATGACAAATAATCACATAATCTCATACACAAATAATCACATAATCTTATACACAAATGATGACGAAACCATCTGTCCCACCTTATGAATCAATGCTCTTTGAATGAGAAAAAATTTACGAGATTTAATGTTGTGGGTTTCGCTTTGTACTACAGTAATCAAGTTCTCATCTGGTTTGACGATGTCTCAGTTTGCTATATAACATTTAAAACGGAGATGTACATATGCGTCATTATGTAAACCAAAAATAAATTTGTTGAGCGCACAAATTTAACCATTGAGTTACCGATATTTTGGGTACCCAAAGGAAATGCGCATTGTGTATCATTTATCTGTTATGGTTGTGAATTGTACGTAAGCTTATTTTTTTTTAATATTCTTGCCAACGGCATTCAGCTGTTGGAACCATGTTGGTCTAGAACCATGCACGGTCAGAATGTTCGTTATTATCATCTAACCTAATATATTATTATTATTCTCGTGAAATAACTAAACGTGTGTACTGTATATGCATGTGAAACATATATACTGTATGCGTGATTGTTTATATAAGATCTTGAAGGAATTGGATTATTTATCGGTTTAAAAAAGCGTCAAACTATTTCTAGATGCTTATCTTTGTTCAAAGGCCAATATGTTAAGAATTTATTCTCTTCATTCTATATTCAATGGTAAAAACTTTGAGTGGTCTATTTATCATTCTTAGTATTATTCTCGTTTTTTTTTTTTTTTTTTTTTTTTTTTTTACAAATGGTTTACGATTCCACATCACGAATGTTCTGGTGAAGAAATTTACCAAAGAATGTTAAACATTATATAAGTGATTCATGTGAAAAACAATAATTGTGGTTAAGCTCTCAAATCACACCGTACTACTCTATTACATCCAGAAGAGTCCATACCATTTTTGAAAAGATGGGAGTCACACAGTTATACAGAACCTGATCTACTACTTTATGCCTAATTTATCAAATGCCCTATTCTGATTTTGTTTTCCTTATACAAAATTAAACTCATGGAACTCGCAAATTAGTAGGAGAGAATTGTTATACTTGATCTTCACTCAATATTTTATTTTACTCTTGTGACAATTCACTAGTATTTAGCTCCTGATATACCTTTTTCTTGTTTTAGAATTTCTGTACTATTGATCTACTATAGTATCTTTACCTACTTTACCTATTTAGCCATCTTCTCCTATTCTGGAATATTTTTTAATTTTACTTACTATTATTACTTTGCTATTTTCACCAGAATATTCATCTCTACCAATGTTAGTATTAGGGCTTTGAAAAGTACTGAACTGATACTGAAGTAGTATCGAAATGATATCGATTTATAGTAAATTTAATATATGGATTATGATCCACTCATATGAATTTATAATAAATTTAAGTATTAAACTGATATCGAACAGGTATCGAAATGGTACTGTTAGGAGCCCTAGTTAGTATTTTTGACTATTTTGATGAAAATATCATCTATTCCATAGCTATTATCTTTATCAAAGTATACTACTATCATGTATACTAATCATATATTAAAAATATATATATAAATGCCTCCAATTTCTTTTAGAATTGCAAGGTTGAACTTTTCTCTTTATTAATAAAATAACTTAACCTTTACAAAACAAATCATTATTACCTGACCTCATATATTTCAGAACTGTACTAGTTTTAGTATGCCCTTAGAAACTTTAGCATACCATATTGATTTATTTATACAAAGTGTCTCCCTACTATTAGCTCTCCATTTATATCTTTTTTTTGAAATAGGAAGATATATAATAATATCATAGATGTAGAAGGGTCCTTTCCATTATAGCTTCAGTTTTCCTATAAAGTATTTATCTCTGGCAGTATTATATATTAATACCTTATTTTTAATTTTTAATTTTTTATATCTTAATTAAATCTTTGTTTCTGTTTTTGTTATCTCTTATAGGTATTTTTTCTTGCTTATTCTTGTTATTGTGGAAGATTTTCTAATAAAGTATACAATTGGTTAAAAATTGTTAGTTATAATATTTTATCGATATTTGCTATAGGTATTTGTGATTTTATCAATAAAGTAAATAAAATAGTATAATTTTTGATAAATATTGTTTTGATAATTTATAAGCAAAAAGTACTGGCAAAATATTTTGATTCCAGTTTTTTTTGTTTTCTATTAACTTTATAAGATTTATACAAAGTTCTATTAAATTATTTAACTAATCTATTGATTTGAGAATGGTAAAATATAGATAATAGATGTTTTATTTCAAATTGTTTGAGTAATCTATCAACTATTTCATTTTGAAAATGTGTTTTTTTGTTAGACAAAATTTGTTTTGAACATTTATATTTGCAAATAACAACTTGATAGATGAATTCTGCTATATATTTTTCAGTAGTTTCAGAAATTGCTTCTGTTTCTGGCCATTTGATAAAATAATCTGTTGTAACAATAATATATTTGTTTCCTTGTTTGATAATTAACAAGGATTCTACAATATCTATATCAATTTTAAAAAAAGATTCTTTAATTAGGATTGGATGTAAGGGTTCTGGAGTTCTATATCTTTTATATTTTTGATATTGGTTATAGTGATCTTAGTTGGCAAAAAAATTTCCAATCGATTAGTTGTTTTAAATATAATTAACTAGTTGCAACTAAAAATTCTGAATTTTAATTGGTTAATTTTGAATTTTTCAACTAATAATTTATAACATTAATTGATTATATGATTAAATATAGTCTTTAACATTTTTGAATATTTGAGAACAATAGTATTGATTATGAATTTTTTCAAAGGTCTTGTCAATACCCAAGTATGCATCAGTTAAATAATTGTGTATTAAATATAGAATAACTTTAATTTCATGTTTTTGAACAATTATAAGTAGTTTGTTTCATGTTTTTCTTTTTCTGTCTTTTTGTAAAGTTAATTGTTTTTAACTTTAAAAAATTTGCTTTGTAATTGTAAATATTTTTGTTGATTGTTGTTTAAAGTTGATGATAGTTTGTTGTTAAGAATATGGTTTTTTTAATTGATAATATTGTTGGATATTTATATTATTGATTTGAATATCAAGACATTGACTATCTGAACTGGATTATGCTTCATATCTGATTTCTTGATTATCTTTTTTGAAAGTAGTTTAATAATAGATAACAGGATTGATATCCATCCATCAGACTGAATTGCAAAGATAATTTTTGAAATAATTATTAAATTTTTCTCTATATTGCTTAAAAGTTTGTTCAAGTTTTGAAAGTCACCAATAATTATCAAATAATTAAATAGATTTCTTAAATTCTTTATCTCTTAATCTTGTTCTTGATATTCTTTGAAAATTGAAATCTTGTAACTGTTTGAATCTTTTTGTTAAAACTTGTTGTAATCAAATTTCATCCAAAATGATTTAAGTAGATTGAGTTATTACTGATTGGATATTATCTGTTTTTTATTTTCCTTTGTAAACATATTCATCCTTGAAAAAATATCTGTTTCTATCAGATAACTTTTTACACCAGTTGCAAAAAGTACAGTCCCCCATCAAAATATTGTGGACACTTTTTAAATTTTTATTATTCAAAATTGGACAAGTAAATATATCACAAAAATTTTTGTCACATGTTCAAAAAGTCTAAAGGTATTGGTCATTAAAATTTCATTTAATTTTATTAGGTTGTATAAAAGTTATAAAAAAAAATCAAAAACTTGATTTTTTTCTTTGATCGAAAATTTAAGTAAAAAAAAAAAATTAATATTATTTTAATACTTTTTAGGTTCTCCCTTGACCATGACGCAAGCAGCAGCCTGATTGGGCATGCTGATGACCAACTGATGACAATATCTAAGTGATATTTTAGACTACACTTTTTTAACAAGGTCATTTAGCTCTTCAATGTTATTTGGCTTTGGCTCGTGGTGTAGAGATCATTTGACCTTAGCCTACAGGTTTTTCAATTGGGTTAAGATCGGGGCTCTGAGGAGGCCAATCTATTAATCTAATTTTTTTTCATAAATTCTTTTACAGGTTTTGCGACATGAGATCTTGTATTGTCTTGTTGGAAGATTGGGCAACCACAATCACTTGGAAGAAATTTTTTAGAATGTGAAGAACGTACCTTTGGAGAATCTCAATGTATAAGGCACCAGTAACAGAAGATTCAAGTGGGACAAGAGGCCCAACACCATATCAGGAGAAGCATCCCCAGTACATTCGACCAGGACTACAACCTATGGTAGGATTCAAGCAATCAACTGCCCATTTCTTATGAGACTCACGCCAAACGTGACCAGGGAAACCTTGAAAAAGACTAATAGTGGTTTTATCTGACTATAAAACATGCTTGAAGTATCAGACAGACCGTTTTTT